TGGCCTTCTAAAGAGCAGTCAGGGTTGCTCTCTTCTAGGACTGACCGGTTGGATTGCCTTGCAGTCCAAGAGATTCAATGCAGGAGTCTTCTTCTCCAGCACCAGAGTTCAAGGGCCTGAATTCTTTGGCGCTCAGCCTTCCTTATGGTCCAACCTTCACAGCCATCCATTGCAACTGGGAAAGCCATCGCCTTGACTAGACGCACTTCTGTTGGCAGGGTGATGCCTCTGCTTTTTAGTAGGCTGTCTAGATTTGCCATCGCTTTTGGGCTGGGTATATAGACTGGATGTTTTCTTCTTATGGGCTGGCAGCATTCTATGAAAACAGGCCTCTTTTCTGCCCCCTCTCCCCCCCCCCCCCGCAGCACTGGGCTGAGATAGTGCCACCCTGTTAGCCCTGCGGAGCTGGGAGAAATGGCCGCCCGCCTGCTTTAGAGGTTGCTGCTGGCACCCAAGGACTGGTCTCCGGGCAATGGAAGCAGGAGGAGGCAGGTGCAGTGGATCGAAGTACGTATTTTTTCGAAGTATAAGACACATCTTCCCCCTCCCCCCAAAGGATGAAAAACTAGGTGCGTCTTATACACTGAATACAGCATTTTTGGCCTCTCGAAACCCCGCCCCCTTTGCAAAAAATGGACATGCAAAGGGTTTGGGAGACTTGCAAAGTGCTCCTCGGGGCTGGGAGGGGCAAAAATGAGTGAAAAATGGGCCAGTTTTTTTGCTCGTTTTTGCCCCCTGCAGCCCCCAGGAGCACTCTGCAGGCCTTTCAAAATCTGCATGCCCCGTTTTTCACAAAAAATGAGGCATGCAGAAGGGTTAGGAGGCCTGCAGAGTACAAACACTTTTTTAAAAATTTACCTCTTCAAAATCTTGGTGGGTCTTATACTCCAAAAAATATGGTAAGTCTCATTTGATCTTTAAGGGTGTTGTTGATTGTCCTTTCACACGTCTGGACCATAAAGGGGAACCCTTTGCCTTTGGGGCAGCTTCCTTCCTGGATTATTTGGTTTTCCAGGTTTTTGGGTGGAGAGGGGAGAAATTGAGCTACATCTGCCCACTGATGACTAGCTATTGGAGGGAGAGAGGAGGCCTAGGTGAAGTGGGGAGGGAAGAGAGGTCTCAGCTAGGAATCTGACTTACCGGAAGGGGGAAATGCGATCCACATTGTAGCCGATGTTCAGCCGGAAATCCGTGCCCACCGATGTCCCTGAAATTGAAATGAGCCAGTTAGAGGCTTGGCAGAGGCAGCCACAAAAACAAACCACAGTGGGGGTTTGTCTGCTTGTAAACAATGAGCAAGATTTACCTCCCGGGGGAAGCCAGTCATTCTAGCATTTTCCCCCTGCTAGCCTCGTTGCTCAATTCCATTTGGTGGGGGGGGGGTGGATGGGCAGACAGCGAAGTTTAAGAAGAGGGAGGGATGAAGAGAGGGTGGGGCGGAGGAAGCCCAGAAGGGACCCCTCCCCTCCAAATGAGATGGATCATTTTAATGAGGCTGAAGCCAGTTTCGTCTACTGGGGAAGGCACCAAGTAAACAACAAAAAGGAAAACCAGGCGATGGGGAGTTGTAGCCCGACCTTGGCTATCAAAGCCCACTGGGTGACTTTGGGTCAGTCTGTCCCTTTCAGCCCAATTTACCTCACGGGAAAGTTGTTTAGGGTGCAAACCGAGTGGAGGATGGAGGGTTAAGGTATCTTCTGCCTGGAGTTATTTCTAAGAATCAAATCAAATAAAGGCAGGAAGAAAATATTTTTAAAATTGTCAGCAAAGTTCATCCCATGGAGCATGCCCACCCTTGCTGTTGAAGGACAGCTGGCAAATGGCCTGGAGGGTGTTGTGGCCCACCAGCAAAGCTGGCAGCAGATTCGGACAGTGAGGAGGTTGGGGAGGAACCTGGGCCAGTCCTGGAGTCTGGGGAAGGCTCTGATGAGGGCTCTGTGTTGGAGGCAGAGAGGGGGCCAGGGCTGTCCGACAGTTATCAGAGTCAGACATCAGTGAGGTAGATGAACGGCTGGAGCCTGTTCCCAGTATGCACATGCGCACAGTGGACAGAGGAAGGGAACAGCTAAGGAACAAGGGTTGACTTGGGAGTAAGGCCACAGGTGGACGATGAATGGCCCCTCCCAGAGGAAATAAAAGAGCAGCAGAAAGGGAGTGGAGTTTGCAGGAGACAATTAGTTCACTTACTTGGTTCGTGACTCTCCGAGACTCCTTGCCAAGTTCTGCAGATATCGACCTGTCACTTTTCCAAGCCAGATAAGGTCTGTGACCGTAAATCCTCCCTCGAAAGACTTTGCTGGATGTGAATGAGCAGAATTCACAATCAATTAATAAAAGGGTTTTTTGTCAGGACAAGGAGTTGGCTTCATGCTCTTGGGAAGCCTCGCTCAGAACAGCAGGCAGTCTTTGGGTTTGCCTGCGAGGTTCCCAGCCACTGATGGGGATAGCTTTTTGTTGGGGGTGGGGGAAGGAACTGGGTATGGATTTGACAAAGGCATGCCATGCTCTGTGCTCCTAACCTCGTCACCCTCTTCCATTTATCTTGAATTGCGGACAAACATGCTGGATTGGCCCAAGGGGAAACCTGTTGGGTGAAGACTAGCCCACTTTTAGTGTATGCCACAAACGCAGTTCCTAACTAATTCAGTCTGGTGACCTGTACCCTGATGAAGAGCATTTCAGTGAGCCTGAGAAATGGATGCTGGGTTTTAACAGATTAACAGAGTTGGAAGGGACCTTGTAGGTCATTAAGTCAGGGGTGGGTTCCGGCCAGTTCTAACCTCTTCTATAGAAGAGGTTCCACAAATCTACCGTGCTGTTTAGAACCGGTTCCAGCTCACCCCCACCCACCCATCTGCACCACGCTTGCCCCGCTTGCTGCTCACTGATTGGCTGGCTCACCAATCGCCCCGCCCGCCTCTAAGAGTCCTATCTAAACCTTAAAGTCTTAAAGCTGTCAAGTTTGAACAACCCTGGGGTTTTTTTTTCTAAAGGGTTAGAGGTGCAAGGGTCTTGTAACTTGACAGCTTTAAGACTTGCGTGCTTCAAATGCCAGTTTCTGAGCCAACATTTTGGTTGCTAAGCAAGAGCGTTGTTAAGTGAGTTTCACCACATTTTACAAATTGGCCACGCCCACCCAGTCAAATGACTGCCAAGCCACTCCCACTCAGTCACATGGCTGGCAAGCCACTCCCACCTGGTCACATGGCTGGCAAGCCACTCCCACAAAGTAGGCTACATCTACAGAAGAGGTTCTAAAAATTTTTGAAACCCACCATGCATTAAGTCCAACACCCCACCCCGACAGGAGATCTACTACCCCATTGGTTCACTGAAGCCGGGATTCCCCTGGCAGGTTGGGGAAAAGCGGAACTGTGGTTGGCCTGCCTGTCAGTTACCGCAAGCCTGTGGCACGAGGGGGAGGGAGGCAACCGGTCCCTGTGTGTTCTGGTTCAGCCGCCAGGGGCAGGAGGGAGGGGGGGCAATCCTGAGTCAGGGACTGCAAAGGACCAATGCCAGCTGGGATGCTATGAGATAGGGAGAGGGGTAGGATTTAAGCCAATGGGAGAAGGGAAGGCATGCATCCTGGGATTACGAGGTGGGCATGACGCACACGACTTCCCTGTTGCCAAATTCCTGCCAGCTGACACCTCTTGCAATTCTGCACTTCTGGGTCAGTGGGTTTAGGGACAGAGGGTGGGCTCCGCGTTCTGAACTCCCTGCCCTCCAGTCGCCTTCCCCCCCACCCCCAGGGATCCAAGGGGAGTGGGGCAGAGGGAGGAAAGCAGTTTGGGGAGTGGGTGTCCAGGGAGCCTCCTGGGCAGGTGCAGAGTCCCCGGATCTCAGCCTACCGAGCACCCCACCCCACCCCGCGGGGAGCCCCGCCTGGTCCTCGGAAGCCGGGCTGGGTTGGTGGGTTCGCTATCCTTCGGGGGCGGGGGTCGCCGCGCACATACCCCCTCCCGTTTAGGCTCATCTACCACCCCTGCCGGAATGAAAGGGGGCTACGGGAACGGCTGAGGTTGCACCCGATCCTCTCTCCCTGTGCATCCCTGCCATCCTTGCCGGGAAGGACCCCGTCGCAGGTGGATTGCTCCCGAAGGTGGAAGCTCCACCACCAGCCGCGATCTCCCCAGCCCCCGGGGCACCGCCAGACGCCTTCCCATGGCACCTAATCGCTTTCCTTCTCTCCCCCGGGACGAGCTCGCCCACTTACCCTCCGCCGCGCTCCGCACTCGCCCCGTTGTAACCTCGCCGCTTTTAAGCTGCGCATCTCGCCGCCGCCGCTGCTACGGAAAATTCCAACAGATGAGAAGGGGCGGGGCTGGGCTCGCGGCCCCTCCTCCCAGCCCCGCCTCCCCCGTCGCCCGCCCCGCCCTGCCCGTAAGGTCTTTCCCCACGCGCAGGAAAGTCTTGTCCCGTTTCAGCACATGTGGGGCGGGGGGGGGGGGGGATAACCGAGTTGGAAGGGACCTTGGAGGTCCTCTAGTCCAACCCCCTGTTTAGGCAGGAAACCCTCCACCACTTCAGACAGATGGATATCCAACCTCTTCTTAAAGGCTTCCAGCGTTGGACCATTCACCAGTTCTGATGGCAAGTTGTTCCACTGATTAATTGTTCCCACTGTCAGGAAATTTCTCCTTAGTTCTAGGTAGCTTCTCTCCTTGTTTAGTTTCCATCCATTGCTTCTTGTCCTGCCTTTAGGTGCTTTGGAGAATAGCTTGACTCCCTCTTCCCTGTGAAAGCCCCTGAGATATTGGAAGACTGCTATCATGTCTCCCCAAGTCCTTCTTTTCACTTGATTAGACACACCCAGTTCCTGCAGCCGTTCT